TGGGATCTAGAGGGAAGAGAAAAGACCAGAGAATGGCCAAAATTATTGGGGCAGCTATTGCTGCCAGTTTAGGGCCTGTGTCAGGAAAAGGAAGTCTTATTCAGATACAGTGCCACCCAAAGGTAATAAAGGAGGTCAGAATTGCTTCCACTGTGGAAAGCTGGGCCACTTCAGTATACAGTGTCACAAATGAGAGCCACAGATAGGCAAGAGAGTAGAGAGGAAGCTCCCACTCACTTGCTTTAAGTGTGGCTCTCTTTCATTTCGTTTAATCTTCAAGGAGAGAAGTCAAAGAGAGTGACAAACACAGAAAAGTTGCATTTAAATATTGAAAGATATTTTCAGGTGCAGTCAAGTCAATTCTAACTCATAGTAACCGATTTTCAAGAGAGCAAAAGACCAGGTTCATCTGTGCCATCCGCATTGCTGTGTGTGACCTCATCATTGCAGCCACTGTTTAAGTCCATTTTCAATAAGAAGATCTTTCTCATTTTTCATTGGCCCTCTACTTTACATAGCATCTCCTAATAACATGTCCAAGATGTGTGTTATAAAGTCTTTCCACCCTTATTTTTAGGAGTATGGTGGCCCTACTTCTTCTTGGACAGCGCTGGTCTTTGGACAATCCATAGTATTCAGTATTTTTCAATATCATAATTCGAAGACATCACTTCTTTGTCAGGCTTCCTTGATTGTCCAGCTTTTCTATGCAGATGACACAATTAAGAATACCATGGTTGGGTCAGGTGTACCTAAGACTTCAGGGGGACACTTTGCTCTTTAACACTCTGAAGATATTTTTGTGGCAGATTTTCCCAATAACATACATCATTTGATAGCTTGACTGCAGCTTCCATGAGTATCCACTGTGTATCCAAGTGAAATGAAATCCTTAACAGCATCCATACTTTCTCCATTTGCCATGTTGTTAGCTGTTGACCCAATTGCAAGAATCTTTGTTTGCTGTCTATTGAGATATAATCTATATTGAAGCTTGTAGTTTTGTATCTTCATACATTTTTGTCTTTTTTCTTAAAGCAAACAAGATTGTGCTATTTGAATATCATAGGTTGTAAAGTGGGTCTTTCTTCAGCCCTAATCCCACATTGTCCTTCATAATCCAGCTTCTTAGACTATTTTCTCAGTATGTAAATTGAATATGTATGGTGAAAAGAGATAGCCCCTTGAAGTATCGGTTCAGTTGACTGTCTCTTCATCTATGTCTAGATTATGTGTGAGTGAAATTAAGTTGTCTATAATTACCCTTCTTTACAGTGCTAACTATACTTTGTTACAGTCTACATATTTGAATGCATTCATGTAGGCAATAAAGCATAGACAAATATGTCTCTGAAAGTCTCTGCTTTAAATCAAGATCCAGGTGACATCAGTAATGATATTCTTTGTTCTACAATGATATTCCATATTCCAGCTTGGACTTCTGGCAAGTCCCTAAGTACACCACTACAACCATTTTTTTTTAATTGTCTTCACATTTTTACATGTCTACATTATATTGAATCACCTTATTTTGGATTAGACACAAATAAGGATTTCTTTCATTTAGATGACCAGGTAGTTGTCTTACAGATTTCTTGTTCAGCCTCAGCTAAGAACATACATGTCAGACACCACTCAGCACAGGTCCCAGGACAAATCTCCCATAAACATGTACATCTCAGAAACCCAACATACGGTCACTATTAATTCGATCAGCTCCATGCCGTGGCTTGGTTTTGGGATTTTGAGTTTGTATATTTGTGTGTGGGAGAGTGTTGGGTTTTTTAAATTTTTTTTCTTTCAGTATGAATAGGGAAGACTAATTATCAATGTACAAGAAAACATAGCCAGAGTGTTCCTTAGAATCAAAGATGACAAGATTTTGATAGTTTTTAAACATGTCATCAGAAGGGACTAGCCCAATAGAGAAAGACAGTATGCCCAGGGCTAGTAGAAAAAGAGAAGCCTCAGTAAGATGAATTGGCAGTAGCTGCAAGAGTGGGCTTACATAGCAAAGACTGTGTCGGTGATCCGTGACCAGGCAGTGTTTTGTTTCCAGCGTGCATGCTCTGGCTACATGCCTTCAAGTTAATTCCAATTAGTCACAAGCCTGTGTACAACAAAACAAAATGCTGCCCAGTCCTCACAATCTTCACTGTGCTTCAGCCCATTGTTGGAGTCACTTTATGTGTCCTTCAGGCCTCAATGTTTAGAAAGCAACTTGACAGTACCTAACAACAACACAAATATGCCAATATATAAATCCTATGGATATGTTGTTGTTAAGTGCCATCTAGTCAACCACAACTCACAGGAACTTTATAAACAACACATCTGAACCTGGCCCTTTTCTGTGCCATTCTCCTGATCTGTGCCATGTTCAAGTATTAACAGAGTGAAATAGTATTCCTTAGAATATACTCCAAGCAAGCTAAAGTACAAAAATAGTGTCTTGGTGGGATGGGTGGAAATTTTTAGCTGCCACTTTCAAGGAAGAACACTCAGGGGAAGAGAAGTGATGGAAAGAGTTGGATGTGCAGATGGAATGGCAGAAGGAAAGCTGCCAAAACAAAGACGAGAAGATGGGGTATAGCTGGGGACTAGTGTTGAGACTGCACTGCCTTCCTGAAGGCACGTGGTTCTAATCCACCAGCTGCTTCACTGGAGAAGGGTGGGCAGTCACCTCCCATGTGATTAACACCTTCTGAAAACCTACTGGAGGGTCAGCCTAGGTCGGTGGCAACTTGATGGTACACAGCAGCAACAACAGTGCACAAGGGGGCGAGTTACAGAGCAGAAGCTATGCTGAAATCATCAGGAGCCCGACAGAAGGTCATACAGACTGCAGCTGAAACAACTGGCTGCCAGTCTAATGCTAGTAGGAGGCATGTGAACAGCATTATACAGGGAACTGATGGGGGAGAAAAATATCACCATTTACGTGTGGTTATGTAAAACTGTATCACTAAAAAAGTATTAAAGCCCAATAGGATAAATGCTTTGCAACTGAAGACTTCCTTGGAAAAATTCTAGCATTTCCACATAAATATTTCTACTTCAATTACCCCGTGCCTGAAAACATTTTTAATAAATTATTTGACTGCCATCAATGAGTGTTCCCCAAATCAAACTCATTGACATCCAGTTGTTTCTGCAGCACAGGGCTCGGTAGGACAGGAGAGATCTGTCTGTGCAGTTTTCAAGGTGGTAGATTTTTACAGATGCGCACTGGCATGTGTTTCTGTGGAGACCTGGTGGGTTCAAAGGGACGGTTTTTCTGGTATCAGCTGAGCTCTTTAACCACTGCACTACCAAGGCTCGTTAGAGTGTCATTAGCAGTTTTAATTATCTAATCTCTTTTTAATTAAGAATGCTTTGCCTTACTTTGTATCAGCAGTTGGTTATTTGCACTTCTCAATAGTTTGTACTGTGCTCTTCCCAGCTGTTACTTTTATTCTCTGAATGAAAATAGATTCAAGTAGCATTGCAGGTCGTCTTTGTCATTGATTCCAGTTGTCTTCATTCTCGGAACCCTCATCATCAAGGGTAGCATCTGATGGAACAAAAGAACCTCTGTTACTGGTTATACACTTATTACTTCCTCACCTGCGTTCTTTCATGACTACATAATTGTGTGTAAAACTGCCTTTTTTTTTCATTGCTGTGTTACATTGTATAAGTTAAATTCTACAAAGTCTTAGCTTGATGCTTTTTGGCTAGCAGGTAAATCAGCACAAAAAGTCACTGAGTAAAAATAGCTTTCAATATTATTTTCCTTTGCTCTGGTTCCTGTACAAAATAACGGGAAACAATGAAATATAACAACAATGGAAAAGCAACTAGGGCACTGTCCTTTTTATCTCTTTGGTACCAACCACATAACCCAACTTCAAGTTATCATTTCAACTTTCATCATGTCTGAAATCTACTCAGTCTTTGGCTTTGGTGATAGGTAAATCTGAGATCAATTTGGAGCCCATGAAATGATTTAAAGTCACATGTATCATTAAGATAGATATAGATTGTCGTTGGGTTTTGCTGGTTTTCATTCAGCTTAGATGTTGACTAACCATTGACTAATAGGATAAGTTGCCCTTTACCTTTCCATGGCAGCCAGTAGTATAAATTGCTTTCTTTTTCTTTCCAGGAAATGCTTCCAGACGGCACACTTTTATTTAGAGGACAGTACATCGCCTCGAGTCATATCCACACCCCCAACACCTATCTTTCCAATTTCAGGTAATGGCTTATAACCATGAATAGCCTTTAGATAGGGAATGAAAATTGTAGTGTTGGAAAGTTTGCTTTTATTAAAGTGCTTTGGAAATGGCAATATTATAAATTGGTAGATAGTTGTATTGCTTAAAATAATTAGTCCATCTGATATCAGAAACCCAGCATTAGGCCTAATTCTCTTGAACTCTGAGCATTCTGACCTACATAATCAATTGTGAAAATGGCTCAGGGCAAGGTCTCTTTTCTTCATTTCTATAGTCAGTTTGGCAGCATCTACCAGTAATTATGATACAGACAATAATTACTCTAAAATTTTGTAAGATCCTAAAATTTTGAAAGTACAGCATGCTAGAAAACATAAAAAGTCTATATTGTTGTCATTGTGTGCAGTTGAGTTTGGATCTGACTCATAGTTGACCTTCCAAGTGGGTTTTCAGAGAGAATAAATCTCATGGGATGAGATTTCCCATCGCTCTCTTGGGAAGCAGCTGGTGGACTTGAACTTTTGAGACTGCAACACAACTTCTTACCACTGGGGCCACCGGAGCTCCCCAAAGTTTTATAGAAGTAATATATTACTTAAGACTTTGAAGAACTTTTACTTATTTCTAAAATGAATTTCTAATTTCATAAAAACTTAAGCAGAAGAATAATAATACAGCAAGTGTGGATAGATGAAAAATATGGATAAAATCCATATTGTTTCTGGTAATCTGAGTTTATGTGACAGAGGCTTTCTTAGCTCCATGAAGAATATATGTAGGAAAAACACTATTAAAGAGTAGCAGCAGTGATGTTTTTGTGTGCCATCCAGTGGGACCCAACACATAAGCTGACCATCCCACAGGAAGTAAATCACACAGGAGGAGATTGCCTATCCTTCTTCCACAGAGCAGCTAGTGGATTTGAATTACGTGGATTTGAGACTGCATCACAACTATTACCACTAAGCCACCAGAGTTCCCTAGGAGTAATGCTGGAAGGAAATATAAGCATAAGCAATTGAAATGTGAATGGATGAGTGTCTAGGAAAATACTATTTTTCTCTAAATTTGCATCATTAACAATATTAAAAAAATTAATTGGGGCAATTAATAGGTTAAATGAACAAAATCATTTAGTGTTGTGTGAAGTGGGTGGATTCTGGAAGGTGGGTTTTTCTTTTTTTTTTGTTTCAGGTGTATTTTTTTTTTAGAGGTGGGAGATTTTTTTAATTATTATTAAATTTTATTAGTTTTAATGAACATTTGGTTTTTCTTGTTTTATTTAAGGGTCAGCTGTGGACTGTTTGGTTGTTTTAATTTCATTCACAACCATGTGTTAGCTGATTGGATTTGCTGGATTTGGCTAACAGTGATCTATAGGCTGGAAGCCTCTTGTTTAGAGCCAGTCAGGGCCTTGTGGGAGGACCTGTGCATTTAAAAGTCAGATGTGCCCTGACTGAGTTTCCAGTTTGGAGGCTTATGTGTGAAACAATTGGATTCTGGGAAGATTGAGGATCATATGTATGTGGACTGTTGGGTTCTTTTTATTTTGTTCACAACCATGTGTGAGCTGATTGGATATGCTGGATTTGGCTAACAGTGAACAGAGGGCTGGGCTGGAAGCCTCTTGTATAGAGCCAATCAGGACCTGGAGGGGGGCCCTATATATTTAAAAGTTGGCTGTGCCCCAACTGAGTCTGTAGTTTGGAAGCTCATGTGTGAAGCAATTGGATTCTGGAAGGTGGATTCTTCCTGTTTTGGTTGAGGGCCAGATGTGGACTGTTTGATTGTTTTTATTTCATTCACAACCACATGTGAGCTGATTGGATTTGCTGCATCCCTCCGGTCTAGTGTTAATTGTATTTGGAATGAACATTCTTCTAAGTAATAGCGCACCGGTCTGTCAATGCACTGTACTGAGGTCACTGTGATGCTGAGTGCTGTGCCATTGGCATGTCAAATGCCATAAGGGTCACCCATGGTGGACAGTATTTGGTGGAGCTCCCCGATGAAGACAGACTTGGAAGCAGGAGCGACATCCACTTCTTAAACTACATACCTCTGGAAACTCTATTAACTCAGAGAAACTATAATAATTCTAGAACAGGGCTTAAGTCTTTTTTCATAGGGTCACTAGGAGTCATGCTCGACTTGATGGCACTTAACAACAACAGCAGTGTTAACTGGTATGATAGACACATATAACATTTTAGAACATCGAAGAATTAAAAGTGATGCCAAAAAAGAAGTTATTTAGAAATATGTGCAAAAATGAGACAAACTAAGAAATAGAGAAGAAATTAACCTATGTGGATCTTTTACAGAATCCTCAGTTTAAATTGTCTAATCTTTATATACTGTTCCTGGAGACTGAAGCTATTTCTACACATTTTTATCTTCTGCAATCTCCTAATTCATGTTTCGTAAGATAGAAAGAGAAGGAAGCGTTTTTAAGATAATTCTTGGAATTAACCTGTACACTCATGCTTATAGGGTAAGAGAGGAAAGGAAATAAAAGTACAAGAACTGAGAAGTCAAAAGAATTACAAATGCATTTGCGCCTTTTCCTCTTTAATTATCTGTCTTTGACCATTATTGTTGTTGGGTTGTTTGTTTTTTTGTATTTGTCTGTTCATTAAATTCTATACATTTATTTTATTGGAGCACTGCTAGCACTACTGCTTCTTAGAAGGTCATTTTGGGGAAGGTGGGGCATCAGCAAAAGAGAGGAAGACACTCTGGGAGGTGGGTGGACACAGTGACTATAACACTGGGCTCAGGTATATCTATCAGGGATAATAAGAATGGCCCAGGATAGGGCAGAGTTCAAATCTGTTATTCATAGGGTTGCTATGAGTCATACTCTACTTGATAGCACCTAACAACAACACCATTTCTTCTTAATACATCTAGAATTTTGAGATAGTTATCTGTTGTCTTAACGTTCCACTTTCAAGTATATGAATATAAGATTAATAAGCTCAAAACTCATTGTCATCTGGTTAGTTCCACTTTATAGTCGGCCCTCCATTGGGTTGCCACAGCTATAAATTACATGGGAGGAGACTGCTCATGTTTCAGAGTTGTGCAAATTCATTCCAATGTTTTCCACAGTCCAACATAGTTCATTAACAGCAACAAGTAAAATAATTCAAAACCAGGACTTTGTCCAAGAACTCTAGAACCTTTCATTTTTAATATCAGATGAGCAAAGGTGCTATCACTTATTATTTTTTTCAAGCGCCTCTCCTGGCGCCTACACAGCTCTCATCATTTTAGTCCTGATCATCGGGTTTCCATTTTCATGTCAAATCCTAGATGAAAAGATGTTTCCCTCACTTGTGAAGCAGATATTAAATGAAATTACCAACATACCTAACTGCAAAGAAAGAGTAGTCAGTCTGCGTGTAAAGGAAGAGGGACTGCTCAAGATAATAGCAATTAATTTGAAGGACGTTTACTGGAAAACTAATGATTTAGGTGTGACAAATAATTTCTGTTTGTGTATCTAATTATAAGAGCTACTTCTAGGTAAGATCTTTTGGTAGGTGTGAAGGTGAAATTACACCTTTGTCTCATGTTTCTTGGGCTTGACTGGCTAATTCAATTTTAGTATTCAGGTCCACTCATCTAAGAGAGAACAGATGGGTTTGGATTTTTTTTTTAAATCAACAAATTCTTGGTAACTGAAGCTTAAAAATATTAGGTGCCCTAAATGCTGAACATCTGTTGATGTAAATAACTGTTTCTGGTGAAATGTGTTTGATGTCTCTTTGTCAGAAGAATCCCTTGTGAAATTGCATGGTGTGGAAAAGTAAGATGTTTCACCTAAGAATTTCTTTCCAGAAAAAAAAAAAAAAAGGAAAAAATCAGCCAGTTAAAATAATTTGGCCCCTTAACAATTAATTAACAGATCAAATGACTTTATTTACATAGCATCTTTCCAAGTTAGAATTCTTGAAGTTGTAAAGATTAAAAGACCCAAAGGTTTTTGACATTACCCTTAATGAAGATTCCAAATATAAATGTTTTCTAGTATTTATAGAGAGAAGGTAAAAAATGCTTTCAAATGTAGACATTTGACTGTTTGACTATAAAGCATTAAACCATGCAGTTTTATAAAACTGAAGTATAAATGCTTACTCTGAGTACCCCATGGACTGCCAAAAGAATAAACAGATATGTCTTGGAGAAAGTGCAGCCAGATTGCTCCTTGGAGGGAAAAAAAAAAAACCAAAAACAAAACAAAGCTTCATCGCAGACTTTGGGCATGTTGCTAGGAGAGGCTAATTCCTTGGGGAGAGAGAATCAGGCTTTAAAAAATGGAGGGAAGGCAAAAGGCAGGAAGATTCTCAACCATGTGGCTTGGCACGTGACTGCAGCAGGGGGCCTGAGTGCGTCAGAGATTTTGAGGTTGGCACAGGATAGAACAGGGTTCAGATCTGCTATTCTTAGGGGCACTATGGTTTGTACTCAACTCAATGGCAACAAACAAGATCAACATGGTAAAATTGAAAATACATTCTTTCTCAGTGTTGATTTTTATCCCCAGAATTTCACATGCAACATGCACTTGTCTAAAAAAAAAAAAGTTGTCCATAAAAAGATACAGTCCTTTGGTAAGAAGTGAGGGTTTGGTTGTATGTATAAAGTAATCATCCAAAGTGAACTATTTTTCTCTTTAGCCTGTGAATAGAAAAGAGATTTCAGGTAAAATAAAATGTCTTATGTCCAGGAGATGATAGACAGCCAATATAGAGAAAATTGTTCATTGTTGGTTGATTGATCTTCACTCAATCTTCAGAATTGAGATTATATGAATAAATGAGTCTTGCACTTGTGATATAAGAAAGTCCTTTGTGAGAGACACTGTAATTTTTTAAAATATCCTTTCTAATACAGTATTTTTATTTCTTTAGATGATGTTGGAGCAATTCCAATAAAGCACTTTCCAAAGCATGTTGCTGACTTACATGCAAGTAGTGGGTTTACTGAAGAGTTTGAGGTATGATTTCAATATGTTTGCTTTAACTAATATAGAAAATAGTTCATTTAAGTCACTTGGTGAGAGGAGGCTAAATATCATGACCTGAAAATGGTGAAACCGCTTGCATTTCTAGAGAAAATAATTGTTGTATAACTAACTGCACCTGTGTTTAGGAAATGGGTCAGGGTCATTACATAATTTAAAAACTTGGGGTGTTTTTTTCATTTTAAAAAGTCAAGGTGTACTAGTGGAGGGGGGAACATATCATTAATTCTGTCTCATAAAATGCAGATAAACTGTGTTCCTTTTTCTTTTCATTACTAGCACTGATTCTTTTTCATTTTCTAAATTATGTAAATTATACTAAACTACTAAATGCCATGATTTTTTTTTCAGCCAAAGTGCGTATAAACTCCTGTGCTCACGCCCCTAAAAATGCACAGCACTTAGGTAATTTTTCATTATATCAGGTAGAATCATATTTTCTGAAGAAAATATGTATGTTTATAAACACTGAAAGTTGACAAGCAATGAAATAGCCTCAGAAAACACCGAGTTGATGCTTTCTTAGCTATAAAGAGAACTTCACTGCATATTTGCCACAGCTTGGTGAACTAGTAATCAGTTAGGGAAATTGTTTTAATAGTCATAAGCTCCAGGTTAACAATTTTTAAAACATTGTTATCAAGTACATCTGGACAAATGATGACCCCATAGAGTCCAGCTGCCCAACCAGGTTTCCAGGTTTCCAAGGCTGTGATTTTTTTAAGTGTTTTATTATTTTTGTTGTGTGTCCTGTCAAATCTGATCTGACTGGTACAGGAGGAGATTGCCTCTCCTTCTCCAGCGGAGCATCTGGTGTATTCGAACTGCGCACCTCTGGGATTGCAGTGCAGCTTCTTCCTGCTAGGCAACCAGAGCTCGCCAAGGCTGTGATCTTTACAGAATCTAAATGCTGGATCTCTTTCCCTGGAGAAGCTGCTGGATGAGTTTGAACCCCAAATAAGTATCCCAGGATTCCTTTGAATTAGCAAGAACAATTGTGAAAAAATAAAAGCTATCATTGATGAGCACCTGATGCTACAGGACTCCTTGGGTGACACAAATTGTTAGGCACTGGCTGACCACTCCAACTATTTGAACAAATCCAGAGATGGCTTGATCTGCTTCAGGAGGTCCCCAGCCTTGAAACCCTGTAGAGTGGGTACTCTCTGCGCATGCAGTGCCCATAGCAACCGCCCTCAACAAAGTGTGCAAGTTATGGACAATGTTCATCCAGTGCTGGGAGTTATTCATAATTCTGTTCTTATTGTTGAAATGAGGCTTAATTAAAAGCAAACCCACTAACATCTAGCTGATGCCAACTCATAGCAACTCCATGGGGCAGAGTAACCGCCCCACAGGGTGTAAGGACTGTAACCTTAACTGAGATATACTACCACATCTTTCTCCACCCACAGTGGGTTACAATCGTCAGCCTTTTAGTAAGCAGCTTACTTCACTACCGTGCCACCTCGGCTCCTTGAATGAAGAGGCATTAGGTGCTCTGGTGACATCCTGAGGTAGTTGTGCTGCTACCCCAAAGGCCACAATCTCTCTGTTCAAATCCACCAGCAGCTGCTCAGGAGAAAGATAGGCGGTCTCCTCCCATGCGATTTACAGCTTCTGAAACTTGGCTGGATGATCAGCTGTAAATTGGTTTGACTCAACAGCAATGAGAATTAATAATGGATAAATAGTAGCAAGACTGGGATTCGACCCAGGTGTGTGATTCTAAAGCTCTTTCCATCATCCTGCCAGCAGGCAGGGAATCTCCAGGCTTCCCTCTTGCTCTGCTCTCTGAAGCATCACTTTGCTGCTTTGCCTCCAAGTACTCTGTGGGTGCCCTCTTTGAGGCATAAGCCTGGAGCCAAATCCAAGGCCTATTTGTTCTCCCCAGAGAACACAGCGACTGTCTCCCACGCATGGCATCTCTTAGCCACTGTGCTGTGGAAGTGGGCTTGTTCAGGATATGCTTAGAAAAGGAAAATGCCAGAGATCCAGAAGTTTTTAAAAATCCAAAGAAATAGAAATGAGCTACACTGAGTATTTTTCTCTGTTGTTGTTGTTAAGTGCCGTCGAGTCGCAGGCGACTCATAGCGACCCTATGAAGAAGCCAAACTGATTCCAAAAAGAACTCTAAATTATGGTTACATTGAGTAACAAAGCTCCGTAAAGTAACCCTAAAGTAGACTATCATGAAGAAGAACATATTTCAAATATCCAATTATTTTTTGCACCTCAAACGAGTGGTTATTGGTGGAGCTAGTTAATACAAAGGAACTCTCAACCTAAACTAAATAAAATTATAATTAAACTAGCAAGTGTTTCTAATCTTCCAACTATTAGAAACTGTAAGTAAAAATGGATGTTGTGTAAACTAAGTTCACTGAGAACATATGCCCAAGAGCAGATTCGTGGTTTTCACAACTATACAATAATTTTGAATATTATTAAGCTATTAATAATAATTCAATTAATCAAATAACTTCGCAGTTTTAATGAAAACGTTTTATTCTTTATTTCATTGTTTTAAACTCACAGCTTGTTTCAAGAAAATTTTTCATTAACTTAGTAATTAGCTTAATGACTAATAATGCTACATACACCTTTTAAGTGGTTCATCTGTTAAATTGTTTTTAAGTCTAGAGTCACACAGCTTGTTTGAAAGTAACATGGAATTTGGAAAGAGGCTAGGCCATTTGTTAATAATTGGGTTATATGCTTTGTCATAAATAATTTTGTGAGGATTTAATGATATTATTATTTTCCTAAGTAATTATAAATTCTAAACTAATATATTTAAGTAGAAAATAACTCTGAAAAGGACTTTTTAATTCATTGTACAAGAGAATTGGCAGAAATAACTTTTCTGAACCCATAGAAGTTTAGACCAAAAGAAAAGTTTACTAATACATAAAAAGTAATATGTAAAATTTCTTTCAAAGTGATATGTGTATCATTTTATAAATGTTATTAAAAGTTTTTAAATATTTCAATAGCTATAAATCTTCTGTCACAAACCACCTAATAGGAAGCTGTTTGCTCTTTAAAATTACTTTAAAAAGCAAGATCTATCACGAACTCAGAGTTTCAAATAGTGCTGTGGTAGTTGAATATAATTCTGTTTGGAAATGAGTAAATTCAACTGGAAAGCCAGAATTTGTCGTGAGATAGATCATTTTTCTCATCTGCATTTTAAAAATCCATCATATTATCATACCATTGTCCCCTTTTGAAAGTGTTGTTTTCTTTTCTTTTAAATAATGTTAAGGATCCAAATTGTTAGAAGCTTTTATTTGCATGCAACTGTTTGAGACATTCTGTTTTGTTAGTATTTGACAAATGTATTTATTACATGTTCATAGTTGTCCATTGTAAACCTAATATGAACGCTTTTTTTTCTCATTTGTCGTGTGCTGTGGAATTTGATTTCTTTACTTTTTTGGCATTCATTCCCTCATTAGACACTGAAAGAGTTTTACCAGGTAAGGCATTATTTCACTGCATTATCTTTTAGCAAAGAAGTAGTTGTAAGATGTAAAAACAAAAAAATTTTTTGATAGATTATTGTCTCTATTTTGTCTTCCTTATTTAAAGGCACTCTGTTTGAAAGAATGTGCATTAAAGTGTTTTCTCTACACTTTCTTTCCAGGAGGTGCAGAGCTGTACTGTTGACTTAGGTATTACAGCAGACGGCTCCAACCACCCAGACAACAAGCACAAGAACCGATATGTCAATATTGTTGCCTGTGAGTATAGCTTCAGCTCAGCTCTAAGCCTGTAGTCATTCTTGACTGGGTGCATTTTAATGGTGACTGGAACCAACACCACAACTCAAAGGCATCAATTCTTCTTTGGTCTTCCTTAACCATTGCCTAACTCTCATATGCAGGTGAAGAAATTGAAATGCCATGGCTTAGATTAGGTACATCTCAGTCTTTAAAGTTACATCCTTGCTCTTTAGCACTTTAAAGAGACCTTTGGTGGAAGACCTGCTTAGTGCAATACGTCATTTGATTTCTTGCCTGCTGCTTCCAAGGCTATTCATTGTGGATCCAAGTAAAATGGAATCATTGACATTTGCAATCTTTTGTTCACTTTATGTTGCTTATTGATCCAGATGTGAGGAAGTTAGCTCTCACCATGTTTAGGTGGACTCTATACTGAATGCTATAGGTGCTTTGTTTTTTTTATCTTCTTCAGTAATTGCTTCAAGTCTTTTCTACTTTCAGAAAGCAAATTGGTATCGTCTCACCTATTTCTGAGATCTTAATAAACAATTGGTTGATCTTTTAATGCTTTGTTTTTTTTTCTTAGTTGCTCTTTGATTCAATACAAATTTATTTCTCTTTTTTCCTATGATGTTGCTAATGTTCATCTTCTTCTAAGACCTTTTGTGTACATCTGTTCCCTCGTGGTTTTTTTTTTCTTTTCTTTTTTTACTTATCAAGCAGAAATTTATTCCCTTATAGTTTAGGAGGCGGCCCGTCCAAATTCAGAGTGCTAGCTCTGAGGAGACGCCATCTCTTTCGTTGGTTCTGAAGGAAGGTCCTGGTCTCTTTCGGCATCTGTAAACTCGGCATTTCTTGGAGAGCTCCCTGTGTTCTGGTCTCCCAGGTATCAAAGAGCTGCATCTTACAGATAACTGAGGATGAAAGGACACACTCCACTCCTCACAATTCTTTCTTGGTGGTACCGAGGTTCCATGTCTTTCATTTTCTTTTCTGTTCTCTCTTTTAAAGGGAGCTCTAGTGGCCTTGTGGTAAGAAGCTGTGCTGCAATCCTAAAGGCATGTGGTTTGAATCCACCAGCTGCTCCACAGGAGAAGGATGGACAGTATCTTTCTGTGTGATTTATTCTCTCTGAAAACCCGCTAGAGGGTCAGCTATGTGTTGGTTTTGACTTGACAGCACACAACAGCAATACCACTAGCTATGTCTTAAAACCCATCTTCATTTTCTTTTTTCCACTAAAACTTTTAACCATCCTCATTGATCTAATAGGCCTCTCTAGCTTCAAATGAATGTGTCATTATCAAGCAGCTTGGTTGTTGGTTGATTTTCATTCTGTCTTGGTTTCTCGAAGCTGATTAGGCTTCACTTTCCTTGTTTTCATTGTCACATTCTCTTACATAGTTTGTTTAATTGACAGCTTTGTTTCTACAGAGTTTATACCAGTTTTGGTCGGTCTTAAGTCAAGTGTCCTACTACGTGCTTGGCTTCCTCCACTGAAGCAGCTCATTTCATTGCACATAAAACAGTGGTACTTTTTAACCACTCACATCTCAAGGGCCACCTTTGCAAAACCATCCTTGGAAATCTATATACGATGCCAATTTTAGGTTTCAGTATCTTTGGAAACTTTTCCCATGATCCTCAACTAATTCAAGTTTTGCTTGCATATCTCCCTAATACTTTGCTCTCCTTTTGACTTCCATAAATTACTTACTCTGTGTGTGCCCTATTCTTACTCATGACATTAAGAAGCTTTTTGACAGTAGTAAGCTCTTGTTATAATTATCTTTGTCATATTTGTGTCCCCAAAGAGTCTATTCTAAGAAGTTGGTTTTGAGTTGATTTTCATTGCATTTGATGAATTACTAGGCAAACAAAATTACTTTTCTGCTTAAAAGCGGTCTGCTCCAGTGAAATCAGTTCTTTCTCTCTGTTTTATTTCAGATGATCATAGCAGAGTTAAACTTGCACAGCTTGCTGACAAAGATGGTAAACTGACTGATTACATCAATGCCAACTATGTTGATGTAAGCATCCTTTAATTTCAAAGTCTATGGAGATTTTATTGGTCTATGTATTTCTACCACAGTACCATGTATATGTTCCTTTTGCTGTGTACCATCAAGTCGGAACTGACCCATAGCTGACCCTCTGGTGGGTTTTCAGAGGCAGTTATTTGCCTGGGAGGAGATTACCCATCCTTCTCCTTTGGAGCATCTGGTGGCCTCGAACTGCTGCATGCTTTCGTGATTTCAACACAGCTTCTCGCCACTAGGCCACCAGAGCTTCCACTGTGTATATGCAAGTACTTAATACATGGTGTAGAATGTTAAATAAGCATTTAAGTAAACAATCAGTAATGTCGGAGAACTCCTATGACTACTGGATTGTAGACTGTAGGATTGTAGTTTGATTGACATTCAAACTATTGTACTTGGTATATCTCCTGAGTGAAGGCTCATCTATCTGTTTGGGTTTCAAATACATGTTCAAGACAAGGCAAATCAAACTTTTTACTCTTGAGTCAATTCTAACCCATACCCGAGTAGAACTATCCCACAGAGTTTCCAAGGTTATGATCTTTTTTTTATTTAGATTTTATTTTAATAATTTTAATGAATATTTACAGAGATTTTGGATTTTCATTCATTCATTGTTGCACTTTTCTCCCTGCCCAGCCCTCCCCTCCTGCCCCCTCCTGCCCCCGTTCACTCCTCTCTTTGAAAAGTAAAAGAAAAATTCTTTCTTTGATATACAGTCCCCCCCTGCACCACTCTCACTGCCCCAAGTACACTCCACTGTGCAACCTTAGATTATGATCTTTATGAATACCAACTGCCACTTTCAAGGTTAAATGTGTATATTCTTCCTCTTCCTCATTGCCTTTGAGTTGGAAACAGTCCATAACTGAAACATCAGTGTGTCTTCAGAGGCTGTAGATTACACATGAGGAGAAATTACATCTGTTTTTTTACCCACAGGAACTGGTAGGTTCGAATCAGTGGCCTTTGGGGTAGCAGCAAACTCCTTAGCTACTAGATATACATCTGTGTATAATCAGATGGGTTTATAACATCTCTGATTAGGAGCAGGATCAATGTTTATTTTTACTATCCAATAGCTCGGTTGACTTAGTGTTAAGGAATTACATTACCAATGGTAAGGTACATGGTTCGAATCCACCAGCTGTTCTGTGTGAGAAAGATGGCAGTCTCCTCCCATGTGATTTTACTGCCTCTGAAAACCTGTTGGAAGATCAGATATGAGTCTGATTGACTCAGTAGTACACAACAACAGTAACAACCATAGTTCTTAGTACAAGTGGCTCATGTGGTAGATTATCAATAAATGTTGTTGTTAATTGCCGGACTGATAAATCCCCTGGGTAAATGCTGGCTGAAAGGCAAAAGAGTGATTATAAAGTTAGTTTTCAGCCTTTATGTTAAGAGTTATTTCTTGGGATGCCCTGTTATTGTGCCATTTATGGGAGCTCTTCAGGGACTCTAGACCACTCTGGCTTTTCACTGTAGTCAACTGAAAGTCAGAGGGAGGCATCCAGTGCTTTCCCTCACCTTGAATAGCAATGACCTTGCCATCACTTTTGAAATATAGAGAGCACTGAATTCAAAGAAGTCAGTAATGTGTTTTTTTATGCATAGCTAGTTCATGCTTCTAGTGTGTATGTCAGAAAGAACATGTGCTCTGAAGTTAGCATAGTTTTAGTTCGAGTGCAGCCACCAACATGGGACTTTGGAACAGCCCTTCAGCAACTCAGAACTTCCATTTCCTCATATCCAGATCTGGAATGATGCTTTCTTGTTTTATATGTATTAATATTTAGTTCTAATATGTGTGAAGTGTTGTGAAGTCAGTGCTCAGGGATGGATACCGTCCATGATTAGTCCTGCTCAGTACTGAGGAGAGCTTTAGAAAACCACATCAGGGATTGACGTACTCCTGCAAACTACAGAGCTCTGAGACTTCAAACACATTTTAAAGAAGCACAATTACAGACCAATGCTAAGCACTCAACATAGCCAACAGAGTTGGATAAGATGCACTTGGATTATAGGTGTAGAAAACTGGTCATGTCAAAGCAGAAAGAACTCTGGTTTAAGTTTCAAGAAAAAAGTCAGTTCTAGAAAAATGGATGCTTTTCTTTGCTGAAGCGCTCAAGCTTCTTTGGCTTTGCAAGTTTATCATTTATGCTTTTCCTTTAGAGAAAATGTATACTGAGCTTCAAAACCTTAAGTATTGTACAATTAAAATAACAGGAAAATGAGATAGTAAGAAACACTTGACATCTGTTATTCCAGGGATACAACAGACCGAAAGCTTACATTGCTGCCCAAGGCCCCCTGAAATCCACAGCTGAAGATTTCTGGAGAATGATATGGGAGCATAACGTGGAGGTTATCGTCATGATAACAAACCTCGTGGAGAAAGGAAGGGTATGTGGGTAATCCATGATGTCATCCTCCAGACAGCAGTTAAAAGTATTTTTAAATTGTTTTTTCCAGAGATGGCATTAAAAGCAACAGATGTTATGCAAGTTAGTGGGTCTTACGTCTTAGTTAGGTGTCTAAAGGGAAATTGTTAACTTCTTTCTTTTTATTAAATTTTATTCGTTTTAATGAACATTTACAGAAATTTTGGGTTTTCATTCATTCATTGTTGCACTGTTTTCTCCACCCTCATCCCCAGTTCGTTCTTCTCCCCCCCATGTCCATTTTAATTGTCCAATTGCCACAGTGCTTGTCAAAGCCAGTTCTGATTAATCTCCTTTGTCAGTGTGTCCCTTGCCATTCCCTCTCACTCCTCCCTGAGAGAGACTTCACCCTGAGTCATAAGGAAAAAAGGGAGGCCACTGACTGGGAAAAAGTATTTGGTAATAACATATCAGATAAGGGACTTATATCCAGAATTTATGAAATACTTGAGCACCACAACAAGATAAAGGTAAAGAATCCAATAGAAAAATGGGCACAGGATATGAACAAGCACTTCACAGAAGACGACATTCAGATGGCTAACAAGCACATGAAGAAATGCTCAAAATCCCTAGCCCTAAGAGAGATGCAAATTAAAACAACTATGAGATATCATCTCACCCCAGTCAAAATAGCAAAATTTAACAATGCATTTAAATAAATGCTGGCGAGGTTGTGGAGTAACTTCTTGACTGAAAACGTTGCATTCGGTATCAAGCTGTATTATTTTTATTTTTTTTTAAATAAAATGCTTATTTTGTACTGGTTTACTTCGTTAGTATACATTGTTTTTCACTCCAGATCTTTCCCATTTTCTTTGCTACCCCTCCCTCCACCCATCAAATTATGTGACCCTATGATTAAGAGCCACCCCACCCCAGATCCCACCCATCCTCACCCTTCTGCTCTCCCCCTTGGATCCTCATTGTTCTACAATAATGGTCTTATATAGTATTTGTTCTTGTGGGAATTGAGTTAATCCATTTAGCATAATGCTCTCCAGGCCCTCTCAAGTTAGGTGGTGATTTATAAAATCACTGCTCCTGCATGCTGCGTAGTATTCCATTGTGTGAATGTACCATAACTTCTTAATTCATTTGGTGGTGGTTAGACATTTGGGCTGTTTCCATGTTCTTGTGATGGTGAATAACGCTGCTATGAACATTGGTGTACAAATCTTCATTCATGCCTCAGTTCTCATTTTCTCAGGTATATTCCAAGCAATGGAAGAGCTGAGTCATATGGAATTTCATGTTCAGCTTTTTGAGGAAGCGCCAAACTGCCTTCCAGAGTGGTTGTACCATTTTACAATCCCACCAACAGTGTATCAAGAGTTTCTATCTCTCCACATCCTCACCAACATTTATTATTTGCTGTCCTGTTAAACCTTGCCACTGCTACTTTAGTGAGATGGTACCTCATTGTGGTTTTGATTTGTATCTCTCATTGCCAGTGATTTTGAGCATTGCTTCATGTATCTGTTGGCCATCTGAGTATTTTCCTCTGAAAATTCTTTCCATGTCTTTTGCTCATTTTGTAATTGTATTATCAGTCTTTTTCTTGTGGAGACCCTATAGGATTCTGTAAACTTTTAATATGAGACCCTTGTCTGAAATGATATTGCCAAATATTTTTTTCCCAGTCCGTAGATTTTCTTTTCACTCTCTTGGAAAAATATTTTTGATGTGCACACGGATTTAGTCTTTAGAAGGTCCCATTCCATTTTGTCCTCTCCAGATTGTGCATTTCTGGCTGTATTTAAGCAGTCTCTTTATACCACAGTGTTGGCCGTCTAATCAAGCTATCTTTTTAAAATGTGTGATTCATGCTATAAGAAGAGTTAATGAGATTCTTTACAATGCAACATAGAATAAAATAGATTTTTAGTTCATAGGATATGAACCATTGACTAGGATCTTAGCCTGCCTTGCTTCAGTTTCTTTACCTTAAAGGGAGAGATTTAAACTGTTGTTGTATTATCAGGTACAATCAAGTTGATTCCACCTCCTAGCAACCTCTTGTAGAGTAGATCTAAACCTTGCCTGATTCTGTGGCATCCTTACAGCCTGCCTCCTTAAGACCATTGTTTCATTCATGAGTAGATCCATTTCCTTGAGTATCTATCTTCCTTTTCTTCACTGACTCTCTACCTTTCCAAGCATGATAGCCCTTTCCAAGGACTGTGCTCTTTAGAAGGATCTATTTTATACTCTTTCCAAACACCACAATTCAAAAGCATCAGTTCTTCTACTATCTTTCTTGTTAATTGTCCATCTTTCATATGAATATATAGCAATTGAAAATACCAAGTTGGGACTAAAATTATCTCAAATCTAGCATTATCTCAGTTCTAGAATCCCATTTCTTGGAACCTGTACAACCAATCTGTAATCACTTACTAAGGAAAGGAAGTATTTCAAAAAGTGAAGAAGACCATTTTTGTCTCTGTGGAAAGAACAAGTGCAGAACAAATGGGGACCACCGAGTCAAACCTCTACATAGTCAAAGGGGAGCTGTCCCCATCAGGAACATGACAGTATAAAACTGATCCCTCTAAGGTTAGACATGGTCCTTCCCACTTCTGCAACTTCTGTTAATCACAAGGTCCAAAGTTCATTGCAAATGACCCCTTAGACTTTATAGAATATCACACAAAGGGTATCACACAAGGAAAGTACCAAAAAAACAATAAACAAAAGTCCCCAACTAGATTAACAGCAAGACACAATCCCTTAGTTCAGACAGCTTCTCAGTCAACAGCAAAACACGACTCCCTGGTCCCAAAGGACACGCACTGCTTTCTTTGCTTCTTGTTTCCTGATGCTCAGCTTCCCTTCCCAAGGATTCTGTCTGGCTCTGTCAGGCTGTATCTTGCCATCTTCTCACTAGTCTAGTTAGCTATCTCTTTTACATTGTTCTCACAGCTGTTGATGATGTTGAAGATATTGATCAACAGGATTTCAGTGAATTAAAGGGTGGGGAGTGGAGCCTCAAAGAGTCCTTTTACATATACATTTTCACTTGGCCTTGTGGTCAGGTTGAAGGCAATAGATAGACAAGCCGTTCTTCAAAATCCCGCCACCACAGTCCCTGTCTCAGTCGTTTACTGGTTTCACAGACAACTTTTATATTGAACATGTAAAATCTGGAAATAACACCTTCACTTGATCTTTTGCAGAGAAAATGTGACCAGTACTGGCCTGCCGAAGGTAGTGAGGAGTATGGAAACTTTCTGGTCACTCAGAAGAGTGTTCAAGTGCTTGCCTATTACACTGTGAGGAACTTTACTCTCAGAAACACAAAGATCAAAAAGGTAAATCAAGAGATTATATGTACCCACTATTGACATCAGCAAGTAATTGTCATGATTCCATCACCCATTTTTTAGACAGCCATAACTTGTTACTATTTAAATCCAAGTAAAGGCATTGAAAGTTCTAATCCCAGCTAAACATAAGTCCCAAAGATTTTTCTGAGTCTCTAAGTACCAACCAGTGTTTTGGAGACAGGTGAGTCATGGTGGCCATGGGTCTGTGGACAGGATAGCTCAACAGGAAATCCTGCCCAGTGAACTGTATAACTGCATGAAATAGCCCAAACATGATCCCAATACCCATGTCAAAAAAAGCAGAAATTTAAATAAGGAAAACCAAAACACAGCAATGACAATATATATATATATATATTTGGCTTCATCATAACAACAAAGCTTAGTTGTGAAGTGCTATCACATTGACACACAACTTGTAGTGGCATTTTGAACATAGTTCAGAACCCTGCCCATCCCGAATTCCCCTCAAGCCCGTTGTTGAAGTCTCCGGGTCAAACTATCTCCTGGAGGGTCTTACTCTCTTTCAGCGACCTTCTACCTTTCCCAACGTGATATCTTTTTCCCGCAGACTGGTCCCTCCTGGTAACACGCACTAAGTATGTGAGAGGAATCAGTACTATCACATGAATTTTGTGTCGATGTTCTATCAAGCTACATGAATCTGAGTGGGTGTTTTAGAACTCTGTATGTGTTTTTGTGTCACTGTTATGAGCTATGTGTACTCTTCCAGGGCTCCCAGAAAGGACGGCCCAGTGGGCGGGTGGTCACACAGTATCACTACACTCAGTGGCCTGACATGGGTGTACCAGAGTACTCCCTGCCGGTGCTGACCTTCGTGCGGAAAGCATCATATGCCAAGCGTCATGCAGTAGGGCCTGTCGTCGTTCACTGCAGGTGAGTGGAGATTTGTTTTTAACTTCCTGTCATGATGGAAGGGAGCTCTTGTGGCCTAGTGGCGAGGAGCTGCGCTACAATCCTGAAGACAAGCAGTTCGAATCCACCAGATGTTCTGCAGAAGAAGGATGGGCAGTTTCCTTCCATGTGATTAACTGCCTCTGAAAGCCTTCTGGAGGGTCAGCTGTGAGTGGATCGGATCCCTACTCTGTAGTACACAACAGCAGTCACAATTGAAAGGAGTCCTGACTGTGGTTCGTGGAGTATTTTGGATGCTAATGAAAGCTCAGCAGCTCAGGTCCATCAGCCACTTCACAGGAAAAAGATATGGCAGTCTGTTTCTGTAAAGATCTCCGCCATAGTCATCCTATATGGGGGCATTCTACTCTGTCCTATCGGGTCACTGTGCATTGTGGCCAACTAATTGACAGTGAGTTCATAATGTGTGATACCACAGAAAAAAACATAATCAATGAAACTGTCTTTACCAAAATGGGAATGGCTTCATAAAGTGCAGGAGATGAAATTTTATGTTGATTTTCCTAAGTGCTTGGCTGCTGGAAATGGTCCCTGGTAGCACAGGGGTCAAGCACGCAACCGATAACCAAAAGGTTGCCAATTCAAATCTACCGGCTGCTCCCTGGGAGTAGATATGGCCATCTGCTTTCATAAAAACAGTTGTTGTTGTTGTTGTTGTTGTGTGTACCGTTGAATTTGAACTGACCCATAGCTGACCCTCCAATGGGTTTTCAGAGGCAGTTAATCGCACTGGAGAAGATTGCCCATCTTTCTCCTGTGGAGCAACTGGTGAATTTGAACCAGTTGCCTTTGGAATTGCAGCACAGTTTCTTACTGTTAGGGCACCAGAGCTCCCTTTAAAAAGCTGACAGCTACAGAAACCATGGGACCATTCTCTTCTGTCCTATAGGGCTGCTGTGAGTTAGGACAGACCTTGACTCAACAGCAATGATTTCTTTTCTTTGTTGTTTTTTGTTTGTGTCATTTGTAATCACTGGGAAATACCAGACTCAGAACAAAATTGATCAGTATTTCCTAGAACCTAATATTTTTATAAAATATTAGTCTATGTTATCATTGTACTGAATTTCAACTTATTAACGTGGGAGGCAAAAGGGACAATGTTTTGTCATTAAACAACAATTATTACAGCATATAACTCCATGGCATAAAAATGCTTAAGGCACAACCCCGTGCTAGAATGTAATATTGTATCGTATTATAGTACCATTTACATTTGAGAATTGGAGCACATAGAGTATAAGGAATTCATCAAAATGCCTTTAAATTGTGTTAATCATTTAGGAACTAGAATCCTTTTCATATTTTATGATGTTTCTTTTGTTACAAGGAATGTGTTATCTATTCATGTTTGCCCAAATGCTTAACTTCTAAGATTGGGTTGATGAATAGAAATAATGATTTCAAAAGGCAAGAAAACAATTTTAGATGTTTCAATCGAATGCTTTTCAGGCACAATAATAGTAGCTATTAGCATGTACAATGTTGACTATGTGCCAACCTTTACAGCTGCAAAAAAATGTAGTTCCATTCTCGGCCGCATTTTGGTCAAAGTAGCATTTGTATTTTCCGTAGATGTGAGTGTTTCCTCTTGCTATACAGCTTATCTAATACATTCTAATTACCTACCTCGGGAGTTGTCCTCGGATCAAATTTGAGAGATATCTTGAGCTTTTAAATCGATTAGTCCAACAATGTGCCGAGGAAAACAGGATGTTGCAGGAGAAAAACCTGTGAAGGTCAGGAATTGTTTCTTAGCAAGTGGAGAAGGACTGGGCTATTGTGCAGAGCAGGTGCTAATTTTCCAGTGCTGCACGTCCTACTTGTCCAAGTGTGAGAAAAAGAAGCCATGTCTATGAATTCTGTCAATAGATAATGGCCCTTTAGAAACAACCAGAGTTATGCTTTATTCCCTTGTGATCTCACTGAAATGATATTTTCAGCTGAAAGCCCGATCAAATTCCTTTTCCCATTTATGCCGGAAACTTCACAAACATGTCTACCTGGCAGTGCAAAGCTAGGGACCTTTCCTTTTCAGAATTTGGTGAAGCTTATGCTTCCATTCTTCTCAGATTAGATGTCTCTTGGCTATGCTGTGTTCCACAGTATTTCCATTGTATACAATAGAATGAAGAATAAAAATCCTTATAGGAAAGGGGAAAAAATCTCTCACAGAAATACAGTTCTTCCCCTTCCATCATACCCTAGAATAAAAGAGCATTAAGAAGAAACTTGATTTGTTGTTTGAGGCATTATACTAACCTGCTAAAATTCTTCACAGGGTTATATCACTAAATTATTTATGGTGCAGCTCTTTTGCTTTGGGAAGGAAACGATTTTAATTAGCACTGCAGTGAACAGTACCTTCTGTGCAGGTTTACTTTGTGCATGACATTGAATTCTTTCTCTTTTTTCCTTCTCTTTAGTGCTGGCGTTGGAAGAACAGGCACATACATTGTGATAGACAGTATGTTGCAACAGATTCGCCACGAAGGCACTGTCAACATATTTGGCTTCTTAAAACACATACGTTCACAAAGAAATTACTTGGTGCAAACTGAGGTATGCTGAAAAGGAGACCTTGATTCACCTGAAGCTGGAGAATGTTACTAGAACACTGAAGCTGGATGGGCCAGAAAGAGCTTTTATTACAAGCCTTGGTAGTTCAGTGATTAAAGTGTGTGGATAATGACTGACAGGCTATTCAAACCCACCCTCTGTCTTGTGAGAAGGGGTTGTGGATGAGTGCTTCTGTAACTGTCTTAGCCTTAAAAACCCTATGGGCCAATTCTACTCTGATCTGTAAGTCACAGTAAGTTGGAAGTCACTGAATTCCAATGGGTTTGTTTTTTGAGCTCTGCAATAAGTCTTTGGTGACCTGTTTAATTTTGTTTCATGATCAAATGAGAAATATGTTTTAAATTACACAGGTGACAGAGATTAGGAAAAGAAATAAAAAGTGATCAGTCAACCTTCATCCTAACAGAATATTCAAGGTTTACACATGTGGTAAATGAATGGATTGATTTTCTTTCTTTTAAAAAAAGAAAATGTAAATTATACTCAGATTGTCTCAGTCCCTTTATATTATTTTGTTGGTATGTGCTGTCGAGTTGGAACTGACCCATAGTTAACTCTCCAGGCAGTTTTCAGAAGCTATAAATCCCGCAGAAGGAGATTGACCATCTTTGTTCAACGGCACAATTACTGGACTCGAACTACCTGCCTTTAAGGTGGCAGTGCAGCTCCTTACCATTCAGTCACCAGAGCTCCCTCTATCCCCTTGTTGTTGTTAGGTGCCACCAAGTTGAATACAACCCATAGTGACCCGATAAGCAACAGTTCCTCAGCTCTCTTCTCTACTTCAGCAGGAATGAATCCTGTCTTATCCTGTGCTATCTTCATTATCTCTGATACTCTTAAGCCTGTTACCCTGGTCACTGAATCAGTCCATCTCATCGAGGGTCTTCCTCTCCTGTGCTGTCCCTCCACCCTCCCAAGCATGACGTCCCTCTCCAAGGACTGGTTCTCCTTGCAACATGTCCAAAGAATGTCAGACAAAGCTTCAGAATCCTTGCCTCCAAGGAGCAGCCTGGTCTCACCCTCTCTAGGAGAACCTGTTTTTCTCCTAGCAGTCATGTTGTTGTTCTTGTTTGCTTTCAAGTTGAGCACGACTCATAGCAACCTTATGAAAAAAAGGCCTGAAGCCCCTCTACATCTATCGACATTTATCAAAGTTCATAGTGTTTCCAGAGGCATGTTGTTTAGGAAATGATGCCACTCCTGCTATTCAATATTCTTCTCCAGCACCACAGCTCAAAGGCATCAAATACTCCTTCTATCATCTCTAGTCCTTGTCTAGCTTTCTGACGCATAGAAAGGAATTGCAAAGACGGTTACCTGAGTCAGACAAACCTTAGTCTCCAGTCTGACATCGTTGTTCTTCAGTACTTTGGAGAGGTCTCTAACAGCAGACTTTCCCAATGCAATTCATCTTTTAATTTCCCGGCTGCTGATGCCAAGAGGGTTGATTGTGGAGCCAAGTAAACTAAAGCTATTAATAATCTCAATCTCTTCACCATCTATCCTGATGCTGCCAGTTGTCCCAGTGGTGAGAACCTTTGTCTTTTTGACATTGAGCTTCAATCTCTATTGAAGGCTGAAGTCCTTGACCTTCTACAGCAAACAGTTCAGGTCCTCCTCAGTTTCAGCAAGCAGTTTCATCTATATAATGCAGATTGTTGATGAGTCTACCTCCAATCCAGATGACACATTTCTCCTCATACAGCCCAGCCTCCCAGATAATCTGTTCTTCCTATAGATTGAAAAGGTTTGGAGATAGGACACTTACCTGACATACATCCTTCCCAGTTGTGAACCATGCAGTGTTTCCTTGCTCTGTTCTGATGACTGCCTCCTAGTCCAAGTATAGGTTTCACCTAAGCACAATCAAGTGTTCTGGAATTTCCATTCTTCTCAGAGTCAGCCACAGTGTGTTGTGATACATACAGTAAAAAATTGGGTCTAAAATCTAATGTGATAGTTTACAGACCCCACAGAACCATATTGGGGAAGTCAAAAGGCTGTAATTCAGACTAGTAGCAGAATACAATCGTTCAGTGAAGACAACTTACAAAATGTGCTCACAGGCAACTCAGCCTTGAGCCTTGCAGTTTTAAATCTGTGTTACTGAGTTCTCAATCCTGCCAATTATGGCTCTTCCCCTGCCCCTAATCCTCCAACAAACTCGGGCAAGGTCTCTTAGCTCCGGCTTTAGGGGGGGATAGTAGTCCCAAGGTCAGCTTCCTCTTCTGTCGGGTCTCTGATCTTCTGCTTCCGCTACTGCTGCTGCTGTAGGTCAAGTTGGCACAAGAATCTAAGGACACGCACTGCGCACCTGCATCTTCTTTGCCGCCACTGAGGCTCTCAAAATCTGCCACTGAATCTGCTCAATTTAGTGGCAAATCCCCTGCGGATAGGCTAACACAGCCTATTCACATATTCCTCCTCATCCCCGTGACAAAGTCAAGGGCAGGAAAAGCCATTTTGAACATTAAACTCTTCATACCACACTCATCCATCTCCAAATGGGATTGTGGATCAAATGAAAAGATACTCATTCAAATCCACAGAGTTCTTTTAGTTGACTGAGCAATAAATCTTTATTAAACTTTGTGCTTTGTGTCAAGTACAACTGCATCCTTAGTGAGATCAATAACAAAACTTCATGTCATCAACATGAACAACAACACCATCAACAGTCTCATAGGATAGGAACAAGGAACTGTCCTGAACGTGAAAATAAAGAAAATTATTAAAGATAATCAATGCTCACGGCCAAAAGATCCATGTCAATCCTGGTGGTCCCATGTATTACAGAGAAAAATTAATCCGTAACATTTTTTTAATTTTTTTTAAGGAGGAATGGGGCTGGGGCTGTAAGCTTTATGATAACAGGTTATTAAGCATATCTTCTATGCTGCTGTTGGGTGGTGCAAACCAGATTCACCACCCAGAGACCCTGACAATATGCATAGTTGAATAAAATTGTTAATGATAGCCTAAGGAGGGCAAGAGTGAGAGCTGGATTCAGAAGAGAGAGGCCACTAGAGATATAGAAACCCTTGTGTAGATTGTGGGATCGTGTCCGGGGTTGAAGGATGAGCAGAGAAGGCATGGTGTTACTCCCCCACCCCTTCCTGCCTCCCACCCACAAATGTCAATGAGCAGCACATAAATACTTGAGGGAAGAAACGAGCTTATTTTCTCCATGGACTGCTTTCTTTTTCTAACTTATTAGTTCAGAAAACAGTTCTCTGAGTTTTTCTGCTATTTTGTCAAATCTTTGTGATCTGATAATGGAAGATGTGGCTTTTGTGCCTAAAAGCCTATGAGGAGAACTTAGTAATGTTCTCTCTCACCTTTGTTTTGCCAGGAGCAATATGTCTTCATCCACGATGCACTGGTTGAAGCCATACTTAGTAAAGAAACAGAAGTGCCAGACAGTCATATCCACGCCTATGTCAATGCTCTCCTCATTCCTGGACCCACAGGCAAAACAAAGCTAGAGAAGCAATTCAAGGTGAGTTCCCTCAGGAGCCTCTTGGTTGTCAAAACAGAATCGAACGCTCCTGCATCTTCCCGTTGGCATCTACCAGGCTCCTCAGATGAGTTGAGAGTGTTGTTGGCACAAAGGCTTTGTATCTGAACGAACCATCTTTGTTCCTTACAATAGGGAGCAGGGTCACACAGTCAATTTCAACGAGGACCCTAGTTTTGAGTAGCTAAAAGTAAAGTTCTCAGAAACTCTAGACCAACTTTTATCAATAGGAACCTGGTCCTGGAAAGGAAGGCACACAATATCACAGAATGAACAGATAGGACTTATAATACAAGCTCGATAAGTACTCTTTTGACTTGGGGAAAAAAACAAACCACTTAACATAAGAGCTGTGGTTCAGACTATTCTGTTTCTCTGTGGAAGATTCTGTGTCTCACTTGAAACCTGTGGACTAGAGGAGACCAGGACAGAACAATAGCTTCTTCGCCCCCGGTTTCTCCCACTCACTGTCATGAGGGGATGAACTGGAGGAGAGCGTGTTCCCTTCACTCATGTCCCTCCTACAGCCCTGGCCCTCTGACTCCCAAAAATCACCAAGCAGAGAATTTAGGTTTCACCGGATGTGCAGTTGAGACTCAGAGACTCGGAGAGCCCAGCTAGAGAGTTCTCTACTTCCTTCAGTTCTTCCGGGACAAAACACAGATGCACCAGGCAATTTATAAAACAAGGTTTTACTTCAAAGGATTATTGGAAAACCGGTCAAATATGTCTTTATTCCATATTATGGTGGGTCATGTGATTGTGTTCCTGTGGATGGGGGTGGATTACATGTTTAGATGACTGACACATAACTTGAGGGTGTGTGTGTGTGTGTGTGTGTGTGTGTGTGTGTGTGTGTGGTCTCTTTTCTCAGCTCCTGAGCCAATCAAACATCCAGCAGAGTGACTACTCGACAGCTCTGAAACACTGCAACAGGGAGAAGAACAGAACTTCCTCCATCATCCCCGGTAGCTTATTGACTTGTAACAAAAACTTCCCTATTGTAATAAAAGTACTGTAGGCACTTTAACAAGAGTTTTCAGATTCCAGGGCTAATGAGACATTTAGGCATCCCCCACTTTACAGCACTTCTCTTTATCTCACTCTGCAGAGTCAATGCCTTTTTTTAACAGATTGAAAGCTTATAACAACTATTTGTTGTCCAAGTCTATTGGTCTTCTGGTGGCCTAGAGGTAAAGAGTTGTACTGCCAGCCCAGAGGCATGTGGTTTGAATCCACTAGCTGCTCTCCAGAAGAAAGATGGCCAATTTCCTCCTGTGAGATTTACAGTCACTGAAACCTACTGGGGAGTCATCTGTGAGTCGATTCTGTCTTGCCAGGGCATAACAATTGGCACCATTTTTTTCATCAGCTTATACACACTTTTTGCCTGTCATATATTGATAATTTTCCCAGTATTTCAAACTTTTTCATCATGCTGTTGTATATATCACAGATTACAAAATTCCAACCAAGCCTACTGCTGCTGAGTCAATTCATACTCATACTAGTGACCCTCCATCGAGTTTCTGAGACCCTAAAGCTTTACCTTGGAGCAGCTGGTAGATTTGAGCCACACATTCCAGCTGGCAGCCCAACATGTTATAAACTATGCCGTTAGCACTGCTAACTACAACAGGACTCTTTTAGTAGACTACAGTATTGGAACATTTATGACTTTATATGCATGGGAAACCAAAACTGTGGGACTCACTTTATTGTAATATTCACTTTATTGTGCTGGTCTGTGCTGGGTTCAAGTGTTTCTAGTTTTGCCTTGCTATGCATAATATGATTGTTAACAAGGACCCATCAACACTTGAAGTTTCATTTACAGTGTAATTTGTGTAATAATTAACGTTACAATGAAGAGTACTCAGCTTGAGAATTATAGCTGTGTTTTGCAGTTTGGGAGCAGTGCTATAACATGATTGTTTACAATGATTATTCTGTGTTTAGTGGAAAGATCAAGGGTTGGCATCTCATCACTGAGCGGGGAAGGCACAGACTACATCAATGCCTCCTACATCATGGTAAGTCCGAGAAGTTACCAGGGAGACAACCTGCTTGCCAGTGCATCCAGAACCCAAACCAGAGTGGGCTGCTTCAGGGGTGATTGTGGCCAGGGCAGCACCAGTTCAGAGATGTGGGGCATGACAGCCCAGGCGACAATAAAAGATAGCATTATTTGCTGGGTTTTTGCGTTCTGGATCTAGAGAAAGCTCAAGTAAGATGAATAGGTATGGGAAGCCAAACATATCATTTGAAACACACACTCGTTCATCTAAGAGATTCCCTTTTCTCATCAAGCAAGGCTGATTTCCTGAGCAGAGCCCTGGACATGGCATTTTCATCAAAGTCACAGCAACATTACCATCCTATTTTGCAACGAAGTTCTCACCCAACTAACTGGGTATCATTTGGATACCCAAATGTCTAAAAATGCCGTACGTCCCTCCTACCATGTAGATCTTTCCGTCTAGAGTGAATGTGTATAACCTATGTTACTATTTCTAACAGTCACAGAGCTTGGTTTATGATGACATTATTCCAATCTCCATACAAAAAGCACGGTTCTATTTATTCAGGAAACAAATGTTAAGAAATAGTCATAAAACAAAGATGGCAGTGGTATCCAAAATGCATCCACATTTTATGTGAACCCTGGAGGTTGAAATGGGGTCTGGGAGGCCCCAGTGTGGAAGAGGCTAGAAAAGCCATGATATTTAGTACGTTGTTGTTGTTAGGTGCCATTGAGTCAAGTGCGACCCTATGACTGGATCTGAATCCTGTCTTATCCTGTGACATCCTCAGACTTTTTGATACATTAGAGCCCACTGCAGCAGTCACTGTGTCAGTCAACCTGGTTGAGGGTCTTCCTCTCCTTCCTGACCCTCCACCTTCCAAACATCGTGTTCTTCTCCAAGGAACAGCCCCTCCTAGCAATATGTCCAAAGTATGTGAGGCGAAGCCTCATCATCCTTGCCTCCAAAAAGCACTCTGTCTGAACTCTCTCCAAGACCTATTTATTTGTTCTTTTGGCTGTCCAAAAGAACTTTTAGTAAGTTGTTGTTCTGTGCCGTTGAGTCGCCTGCAACTCATAGCGACCCTATGTACAACAGCCCTAAACTCGGCTCTGTCCTGTGCCAATCGCACTGTCTCTGACACACCCATCCTGATTACCCAAATCACTGAATCAATTCACCTCATAGAGGGTCTTCCTCTCTGTGCTGTCCTTCCACCCTCCTAAGCATGACGTCCCTCACCAAGGACTGGTCCTTCCTTGCTTTGTCAGACAAAGTTTCAGAATCCTTACCTCCAAGGAGCAGCCTGGTTTAACCCTCTCTAGGATGAATTTGTTTTCTTAGCAGTCCATGCTATATTCAGTACTCTTCTCCAGCACCACAGCTCAAAGACATCAATTCTCCTTCTATCTCCCCTAGTCATTGTCCAGCTCTCTGACCCATACCAAGTGATTGCAAAGACCATAGCCTGTATCAGGCACACCTTAGTCTCCAGAGTAGCATCGTTGCTCTTCAGGACTTTAGAGAGTTCTCTAACAGCAGACTTTCCCATCGCAATATGTCTTTTAATTTCCTGGCTACTTGTGCCAAGAGTGTTGATTGTGGAGCCAAGCAAACCCAAACTGTTAATAATCTCAATCTCTTCACCATCTATCATGATGCTACCCATCATGATTAACACGATGACAGTAGTTTCTAGGTTCCTGCAGCACAATGTACAACGCTCTCCTGATTCTTTCTTAGGAAAGCAGTGTTTGGACACAAGAACCTATAAAGAGCTCAGAAATCTGGTGTTGCCACTGGGACCAGATAACCTAAGGAGATGTGGAAAACGAGAACTAACACTGTCATGTAGATTTCTGTGTCATCAGTGTAGGAGATGTTTCTCAATCCATTTTGATAAGTCTGCCCCTAGAGGTAACAGCCGTAAAGGACACTTGACTTTTGAGCGTCATTTTAAGTATCTAAAAAATTAGAATCACAGGTCCTCGCTCATAGCACTGTTGCCAGGAATAAGTGACTTTAGAGGAGGAAAACAATATTGTATGTAATACTGTACACAAAGTGCCCAGTTAACATTCGTAATAGTTATCACATTATTGTTTTACAAATAAAATTTTATTTTAATTGTGATTTTAACAAACATTTACAAAGAAGTTAGATTTTCATTCATTCATTTATTCCTGCACATTTTACCCCCTTCCTCTCCCAGTTCACTTTAAAAAAAAATATTCATTCACTGCTGCACAATTACCTACCTCCCTTCCCACCCGCAGTCCTCTTTTCGGTGATATATTTCTAACTGTGGGCTGTTGTCATACAGATAATGCCTAATCATATATTCATTTTAGAACTGTGATATTATTATTTATAGGCACTTTTGAAACACAAAAGCTTCTTTTGACTTCCAGTCATAGAGTTAAAGATCTCTTTCTCTTTGCTTTGGTTTTGTAGGGTTATCATCAAAGCAATGAATTCATCATCACCCAGCATCCTTTGCTCCATACCATCAGGGATTTCTGGAGGATGATATGGGATCACAACGCCCAGCTCGTGGTTATGCTTCCTGATGGTCAAAACATGGTCAGTCCCTCAGATCACCTCTCAGACGTTCCTGAGAGGGCAGTTCCTACTGGGTCACAACAGAAACTGTAACTGGAAGTCTACAATACAAACAAGTGAAGGGGTTCTTACTTTTCCACATACTGTTGGTTGAAAAACCTTGTGCATTATTGAGCTTAAGCCAGATCCACAACGTCCCAGATCTGAAATTCTTGGATGGCATCTTTTTAAATGAATGCAGATTGAAATTAGCTTGAATTTTTAGTATTTTGTGACAGTGCTGAGAAACTGAAAATTGAAACCATGAATGGAGATACTTCAGATGCCTTTCTTAAATTGTTACTTGAGTGAAAATTTACAAAGCATCTTGGTTTTTCATTCAAGCCTTCATACGCATTTTTACAGCATTCATTTCAATGTCAGGTGCTTTTAAAAGTATGAAATAACTCATTGTAAGGTTTCTGTAGTGTGTACACAAGAGAGACCTATTTGGAATAAGGTGAATTCCTAGTATGTAAAAAGCTATTTTGGCTTCAAAATCTCAGCAATATCCCATTTTCTTTATATTTTAAAAATTCTAAAAGTAAATAAAATTATTATGACCTTTAGATACTGTATCTGTATAAATTTGAGATTTACTGCTTAGCTATAATTTATATAGGCACATCTCATTTTCTTGTGCTTCAAAGATTGAGTTTTTAACAAATGGGAGACTTTGGACAACCCCGCTCTGATCAAGTCTATAGGTGCCTTTTTTCCAACAGCATGTGTCTACTTTATAACTCTGTCAGAGTTCATCATTCTCACAGTATTTCAGAATGCTTTATAATGCTACTGAATACTCAACAAACCAGCATCTATTGCAAATGTAATTTATATAATGTACCAGAAAACAAAAAATGAATGTGAATTGCTTTCCTGAGACGGTCTCAAAGCAAACCTGCAGTAGCCCAAAACCATAGCTGCACTGACCGTTCCCAGTGAGTCTAGAAAAGTGCCCAGCACTTTGAACCATTTGAATCTTCTCCTCTTAGAAAGAAGCAACAAACTTAACCATTCTTCATGATAAATTAAAAAAATAATAATAAAGCAATAACCAAGGTCCGAAGTCAGTGAAGCAATAACCAAGGTTATTATGTTTGATATTTTATTGTGTCATTCTGTTTTAAGACACAAAAGTAGTTTCAAACTCAATTTCAGAATCTGAAGAAAATTTTGAGTTGAATTTTCTATGGCAACAAATTAACTTCTATTTCACAGTCTGACCTATTAGATATTTTAGTAAAATCTAGACTTGCTGTTTTTTCCTTCTCCAGGCAGAAGATGAATTTGTTTATTGGCCGAATAAAGATGAGCCTATCAATTGTGAGAGCTTCAAGGTGACTCTTATGGCTGAAGAACAGAAATGTCTCTCTAATGAGGAAAAGCTTATAATCCAAGACTTTATTTTAGAAGCTACGCAGGTATGTTACTTAGCTGGCCAGATTTCCATCTTAAATACATGTTAAATACATGCTAATTTAAGGAGTTTTTCCTACAAATAAAAAGAAGGGATTGTATTTCTTACAAATTGAGATTGATTAACAACAACTACCCAAATAACCAATATTGTCTTCCTCTTCACTTAACTTTTCAAAATCATTAGGCCATTATTCACCATTAAATCACACCCTTACTAATTTCTACACACACATACACTTTTTTTAAATCCTCTTGTACTACAAGATAAGTGTTCATAGAGCCTATGTTGAAAATAAATGCAAAAAAAAATTCACTAGTTCATATAGTTATATGCATAAGAGAGCCCTTCTCTAAGTAAAATGGGGGAAATACTAGGGCTAACTTTCTGCTCTTTGCTAATATATAATGAATTGATGAGTGGAGAAATTCTCTGAAAATGTACAGAACAATGAACTAAGGTTGTTCTAAACCCTTGTCTACCAATCACCCATCTAAATTTTTTGTCAGTAATTATCCATTAAAATGTTGAGCAATTACTAATAATGGCTTGTAAGATTTAGAATATCTTCTCAATCAAAACCCCTTTAAATAATGTAGTAGTCTGAGCATTTCACTTGAATATAATTCTGAACTGGTGAGATGTGTGTGTGTGTGTGTGTGTGTGTGTGTGTGTGTGTGTTTGTGTAAAGATTTACTATTCTGTAGACTTTTGGAATGACAGCATTATTTTTAAATTAATAATAATGATAGATTAATAATGTGGACATGTTGCCAGGAGGGACAGGTCCTTGGAAAGGGCCATCATGCTTGGGAGGGTGGAGGGACGGCGCAGGAGGGGAAGACCCTCTATGAGATGGATTGATTCGGTGACTGGGGTAATCGGGATGGGTGTGTCAGAGGCAGTGCGGTTGGCGCAGGATAGAGCAGGGTTTAGGGCTGTTGTACATAGGGTCACTATGAGACGCAAACGACTCGACGGCCTATAACAACAACAACAACAATAGCAATAAATACTTGAATAAAACAAAATCACATCCTCCCAGGTAAATTATGTGGCCTTGAGAAACAGCCTTATATTTTTATTTGAAAAGTGAGGGACAGACAGAGGAAGAATACAAAGGTCCCTGCGTGTTTGTGATGCCCCATGAGTAATAGCATCTCTTCTTGTTCTCAGATCATTTGACATCCGTGCACTGTAAATCTTCACCCTCCTGACTCTGTGCCAGGCACATATATCTTCCCATAGTTGAACCCTAGTATTGCTGCTATCTGAAAAGATCTAGGGCAGTGTTCCTACTGTATTGGCCTGCTAACCAGAACATTCTAATCCACCCACCTTTTCATGGACAAGCTCCTGAACAAGCTCAGAAACCCAGTGGAGGTTTGCCGAGAGTCAGACCAACTCAACATCAGTGAATGTTGTTTTAGAAACAAATTTTAGCACTGTAGATTTCTTTCAGTCATTTCAATTTGGCATCATAAACACATCTTTGGAACATTATCTGAGGGTATGAAACTCCAGCGAAGTTTTCTTCTTAGGATTTTAAGAGATTGTGCTGCGTGTCTGTTAGGAATGATAGAAAAATGTGCGGACGGTAATGGATTGGCCTAGTCCGCAGGGAGATGTGCTATTAACCTACAGGTCACACCTATGGGTGGTTCTAATCCACCAGCAGCATCTCCAGAGAAAGATGGGCGCTCTCCTCCCGTGGGATTTAGAATCTGGGAAACCCGCTAGGCAGTCAGCTCCAACTCAGCAGTATTGAGTTGAGTTATCATGTGAGTTTGAACTGATTAACAACATGAAGGCATAGTTAACTTCCTGAATGCTTCATGTGAAGATCGTTGGGAAACAGCAACTGTTTTGTTACCTGTAAATAAACAAAAAATAAAAAAGATATTACAATATTTTATCTGACATCTTATTTACTGAGTAAATCCATCAATAGCAAAGGTGGGTTCCCCCTTCCACAAAGAGGGGAGTTACTTCTGTGACCCTACTCATTCACACATGCCATCTGGTTTTAGTACGTTGGCATCGTCTCTCATTCTCCTCTTGACTCCATTCAGGATAAGCTCTTACTGGCCACTGTTACTCTCTTAAAATTATAACGTCTTTCTTTCTTCTTCCAGGATGATTACGTCCTTGAAGTGAGGCATTTTCAGTGTCCCAAGTGGCCAAACCCTGATAGCTCCATCAGTAAAACTTTTGAACTCATAAGTCTTATCAAAGAAGAAGCCGCCAGCAGGGATGGGCCCATGATTGTTCACGATGAGTAAGTTCCAAGCTCCACATTCTTCCTGCTGGAATAAGGGTAGAAGGTAGTGTCTGTGGGGTTTTTTCTGACCCAATGCTCTGAAGCAATTGCAGTGATTTTTCCTGGCTATATTACTGTTCCTATGAGGACGGTTGATGCAGAATATTCTTTTATCTACACTTGCAATTCTGACAGAAGACTGGAAATCTTCTTATGTGATTGTAAGAATTTGCTCTTGGGTATTTTTCTGAGAACATTTTTCTTGATAAGCCATTGTTTCAACATTTGGTCTTTCACAAGGATTAACCATTGAGAAGCAGCGATGATGGTGCAGTGGGTAAGCACTTGGCGGCAAACCAAGAGACCAGGGGTTCAAGCCCACCAGCCACTTCCTAGGAGAAAGGTGTAGCACTCTGCTTCCATGAAAGGCTACAGCTTTGGAAGAAATATAAAAAGAAAAGGCTTTGCCATGAAGCTGACTGACCAACTGACATATTCCAACAAACAGATGCTAGCCTGGGTGTGCTCACCAAGTTGTGTCAAGAAATCTGGACTGGACTGGAAGAGATCTATCTATATTTGTTCCCATTCCAAAAAAGGATGACCTGACAAGAGTGTAGAAATTATCAAACAATATCACTGATATCACATGTAAGCAAAATCTTGCTGAAGATTATCCAAAAATGACAGAGAACTACCAGAAATGCAACCTGGGTTTACAAGAGGCTGTCACACTAAAGACATTATCACCAACATCAGATGGATTGTGACTGAAAGCAGAGAGTCCCAGAAGACTATCTATCTGTGTTTCGTTGACTATGCAAAGGCATTTGATGGTGTAGATTACAAAAGATTGTGGCTAACCTTGAGAAGAATGGGAATCCCAGAACATTTGATTGTGCTCAAACGTAACCTATACCAGGAAGAAGTCCTTAGAACAGAATAAGGAAACACTTCATGGTTCAAAATCAGGAAAGGAGTGTGTCAGGGAAGCATCCTGTCTTCGTAGCTTTGCAGTGTATATGCAGAACAGATCATTTGGGAAGCTAGACTCTATGAGGAGGAATGCGGCGTCAGGATAAGAGGAAGATTCACCAACCTGCATTATGCAGATGACACAACCTTGCTTGCAGAAACTGAGGAGGACCAAAATGTATGCTGCAGAAGGTTAAGGACCCCAGTGTACAGTATGGATTGAAGCTCAACATCAAGAAGACAAAGATTCTCACCACTGGGCCAATTGACAGCACCATGAGAAACTGAGAAGAGATTGAAGTTGTTAACAATTTCAGCTTGCTCAGCTCCACAATAAACATTCTTGGCACCAGCAGTCAGGAAATCAAAAGATTAATAACTCTGGGGAAGGCTGCTCTCAAGGGCCTCTCAAAAATCCTAAAGAGCAACTTTAGTCTGGAGACTAGGTACACCTAATTCAGGTCACAGTCTTCACAATTACTTGCTATGTATCAGACAGCTGGACTATGACTGCTGATGACAGACGAATTGATGCCTTTGAGTTGTCCTGGAGAAGAGTATTGAACATACCAAAAGAACTACCCTGGGGAGGGTGACACCAGGCCCCTTCTTTGAGGCAAGGATTATGAAACTCTATCTCACATACTTGGGACATGTGGCCAGGAGGGACAAGTTCTTGGAGATGAACATCATGCTTGAAAGGGTGGAGGGACAGTACAAGAGAGGAAGACCCTGGATGAGATGGATTGACTCAGTGACTGGGAGAATGGGGGTAGGTGTGTTGGAGACAGACTGGCTTAGGACAGGGCAGGGTTTCAGAGCTATGATACATAGAGTCACTATGAGTCACAGATGACTTGATGACACAAAACAGCAAGAAACCTAAAAATAACAAGTACTTAAGCAAGTGTCAAACTTCTATGAAGTATCTCCTTACTAAAACAGTGACCCCTTAGTTATGTTTCAACTTAAACCATGGTTCTATGTACAATGAATGACAATGTTTTGGGGGTTATTTTGGTGTTTTATTTATTAATATCTTCTTTTTAGATTTTAACCAAAATTTATCCAGAACTTGGATTTCCATTCGTTCATTGTTGCGTATTTTCCTCCCTGCCCACCCCTCCCCTAGTTTGCTTTTCTCTTTGAAAAAAATTTCTTTCATTGTTGTACAATCCCCCTCCCCCAGCCACTTTACTATGCAGCTCTTATTCTGGATTGTTGGAGTGACAGTGTTTTAAAGAGTTCAGTGACTCTCACTGCCAGACTGTCAAAACTATGCTCTGTGAGTTTCAAATGCAAGCGTTTCATGACTCTGAATGGAGATTTGTCCCTTCTCTTTGTTACAAGGCACGGCGGAGTGACAGCAGGCACTTTCTGTGCCCTGACAACCCTTATGCACCAATTAGAAAAAGAAAATTCCATGGATGTTTACCAGGTGGCCAAGATGATCAATCTGATGAGGCCAGGAGTCTTTGCTGACATTGTAAGTAATAGTGCACCGCCACTGTTGGAAGTACATATTTTTTCAGAGACTATTTTTCTTGTATCATGAAAGATTGCACTGGAGGGGAATATTAGTGCAGTGTAGTTTTCAAGGTGGATTTCAAGTCATTCCACTCAATGAACTGAATCAACAAACCTGGAATTTAAGACTGGAAACTATCGTCAGTAGAAGTGCTAACTAGTCAGATTTTTCTCAGTAAAAGTTCTTTTTCAAGAATTCACACCCTCGTTAGTCTTACAGGCCACAGCCAGTGTCCACGTTACCAATGAGATGAGCTCCTTAAGTGTGCCTTTCAGTTTACTTTGTGGGTAAATCAGGACAAGTGTGAATGATGCATATTTAGATTTACTTTAGTGCAAGAAAGGAACCCTGGTGGTGCGGTGGCTAAACCATTCAGCTGCTGAATGCAAAGTTGGCAGTTCAATCCCACCAGCCTCTCCTTGAGAGAAGCTTGTGGCAATCTGCTCCCATTAAGAGTCACAGCTCCAGGACACATTCAGCGTACACCCACACACGCACCCACCTACGCACACACCTGTCATATAAAGTCTCTAGGAGTCAGAATCAGTTGCAGTGAGTGTGGTTTGGTTTGGTTTAGTTTGGTTTTAGTGAAAGAAAGGGCACAAAGCCTTTTCAATGATTTCAAAGTTTCTGTTGCCATAAGTGAAGGAGATTGTGATGAGGGATGTGTAATTATGCTGGGCTTAGTTCAGTCATTTCAAAGTGAAGGCCTAGCAAAGCTACATAACATTAAAGGGCAGATATGAGTTATCCTTAAAATGGATATTTTTAACCCAAAGACTGTGCTCAGACAGCAGATTCCAAAGACTTAAAAGCTCGAACTCTTCACTTATTTCCTAAACTAAATTGCATTTCTAAAATAAACCATAGGCTAATATTTGAGTTCTTTAAAATGGAGAGGAGATGGACAAGTAAGAAAGGGCCTCCACACCACTGGAGGGATGGGTCCCCAGTGGGATGGTGATTGGAAAGGTTTTATTATTTTAAAAAAAAGAAAGGCTGCAGGGACAATAGGAAAATGATCAGCAGTTTATTAGTGGAAGAAGGTGTGGGTGGATGTGGAAGCCATGCCCCCTTCATCTCCTGGCCTTCCAAAGCCCACCTTCAGAGCCCAGACCTGATGGCTGGAGGTCAAGGTGACCTTGCTTACTTACACTTCAGAGGATCCCCGGGGAGGTCTCATTTGGACCAGGTGAGTTGGATCAAGTTTGTCTGGTGTGAACTGACTCTCTGCAGAAGCAGGATTAAAGCAGATGTCACAAATGCACATCAAGGTGGAGCCGCTCACATGACACCCTCCTGTGTTAGTTTCTGCCATGATGCTAGTCCTTGACTCACATTCTCCAAACTGCCTGCCTCCTTGTCTTGGGTTGACATCTGTGATATGAGACCTGTTGCCTTTTGCTGTGTGCCTCACCTTTACTCAGAGCACAGCCTGGGACCTACCAATCTGGTACATGTGATAAACTATGGATCTTGTATAAGGCCTGCATTCTTTATGGATTCTCTAAGCTGCTCTGCAATCCCAAAGGCACACAATTCAAATCTACTAGCTCCTCCCCAGGAGGACAGGCAGTCTCCTCCTATGCGATTTACTGCCTCCAAAAACCCATTAGAGGGTCAGCTACAGGTTGGTTCTGACTTGATGGTACAAAAATAACACAACAATCTAGTAATGTCTTCTCCTCTGAACCATCTCCATAAATAGACCATTCCAGGGGGTTTCAAATTCTCGAGAGAAAAGGAAATTGGAAACTGACTTAGGAGTGAATCACAGGTTCCTAATGTCAAAGAATTTTCACACCAGGTGTGAAATCCCTAATAGAACTCCATCACATCATCATTTGAGTCCTTCGTGTAGGCAAGAGTCCTTTATTTCCAAGGAACTGAACCCTAGTGGTAGAAGAACCTAGAGCACAGCTGCTAATTCGTTCACGCTGTGGCTCCATAAGAGAAAACGCAGGCATTATGGGACAGTTCCGCTCCGTCATGTGGTATGCTGAGATTCAGAATCCACTCACTGGTACCATATAAGAGGAATATCATCATGTTGCTGAGTACCATCATGTCGGAACTGACCCATAGCAGACCCTCCAGTGGGTTTTCAGAGGCTGGTAATCGCGTGGGAGATTGCCTGTCTTTCTTCTGTGGAGCAGCTAGTGGAGATGAACTGCATGCCTTCGGGATTGTAGTACAATTACTTACCACTAGGGCACCAGAGCTCCCTATAATATCTATATATATTTTATTTTAATGTTTAATTATAAAAATGTTGCCTATTGGCCCAGTGGTAAGGACTTTTTTAATTAATTTATCTTAATGAAAGTTTACAGAGACTTAGGGTTTCCAATCATTCATTATTGTACTTTTCTACCTGCCCACCCCACTCCCCCTAATTCACTTTTCTCCTTGAAAAGTAAAAGAAAAACTCTTTTGCTGTTATGCAATCCCTCCCCTCAAGTCCACTCCACTATGCAGCCTTCATTCTGGACTCCTGTCTTGAAAATAATACCCAGTCATATATCCCTTTTCAACAGTTCTCTCCCTCATCTGTTTGAATGTAGTATACATCATTCCTCCCCGATTCTCTGTCTTCTCTCAACCCCAATGTCGGTCCCGTTTTACAACAGTGGCCCTATGCAGTATTTGTCCTTTTGTGACTGAGATAATCCACTAAGCATAATGTTCTCCAGGGTCACCCATTTTGCATAATATTTTCTGAGTTCCTTGTTTTTCAATGGTACATAATATTCCATTGTGTGAATATACCACAACTTCTCTATCCATTAGGTTATTTTTTGTTGATGGGCCCTTGGGTTGTCTCCAGCTCTTCGCTATTGCGAACAAAGCCACAATAAACATGGGTGTGCACTTTTCAGGTGAATGTGGACTAATTCAAAAGCTGTTTTTAATCCATCAGAGACAGTAGTATAAAGTGTACTAAAGCCCTTGCTGCAGAAGTCTTTCCTGCCCTTCCGTCAGCAGCGTGGACTGTGGCTGCGACATGTGTCCACTTTGCGTCAGTGTGTCTTCACCGGGTACTCATCGCCTCCTCTTCTCTCCCTTCTAGGAGCAGTACCAGTTTCTCTACAAAGCCGTTCTCAGCCTCGTGAGCACGAGGCAAGAAGAGAACCCTTCCACCTCTCTCGAGAGCAATGGCACAGCCCTGCCAGATGGAAACATCGCCGAGAGCTTGGAGTCTTTAGTTTGACCCTGAAAGGGATCACATGAGGCCCCATCGGAGCATCATTTTCCTCTTCTCCAATTAGATGGGAAAATCAATCCAGTTCTTCTGTTCTCTGTTCCTTTCCTGTCGCCTGATGGTAACTTTCACAATGTAGGATTGTGCTGCCAAATTGACATTAATAACGTGTGCCTTTTTTTGCAAGACTTCTTGTAATTCACTTATTCTGTTTGAACTAAAATGATTGCGTTTTACAGTCTTTCTAAGGATGGAATTGTAATTTTTTTCTGTATTGATTTTAACAGAAAATCTCAATTTATAGGTAGTAGGAATCCTCAACTGTGCAAAACATGTTTGTTTTTATTGTCAGATTTCTAGCTGTATTTGTAGCAACCATCAGGTTTTCTAGAAATTTAACTTTTAATATTGTAGACTATCAATACAATATTCTGTTCTCCATGCTATTCAGCATTTGACAGCTGCAGCAGCCCCCTAAAATAGAAATAATCTGATACTTACTGTAAATAATGCTCTAGTGTCTCCATGGACAAAATTTATATTTATAATTGTAGATTTTTATATTTTACTACTGAGTCTGTTTTCTAGTACTGTGTGACTGTTTAGTTTAATGACCTAGTGACGTTTCTGGCCTTGCCTGGCAAGGCTTCTGATAGTGTGTTCTGTTCTCTATGTGATTAACTCAATTTAAGCATGAGATTTTAACTTTTGTGCAAACTAGAAGGACATTTCTTTTGAAAAAATGTTTTTATGAGAATAACACCTTACCCAACATTGTTCAAATGATTTTTATCCAAGACATTGCAAAAATAAATATAAATATTGCCATCAGTGTGAGTGTGTTCCTCGCATATTGCACTGAGGCATGCAAAGCCGTAGATTGTGAGTCCCACTGGGTGTTGGAAAACCTGGAACAAGATCAGTGGAGTGGACTCGTGTATGTGGTTGTGGTCCTCAAACTGTGCATTGGGGTATACAGGGCACTCGTGAAGGAAACCGAGACACCTCTGTAGATGCTGCACAAATAACTATTAATTATTCCAACCTCATTTTGTTTCCTACTGCTGTCGTTACACAAATACCATAAACATTAGCTCCAAAGAACAGACATTTACTTTCTCACAATTCTGGAGTCTTAAAAGTCCAAATCAGGGACTCAGCTGTGTCGAGTCCTTCTTTTTTTTTTAATTTTTATTATTTTATACATTAATTAAATACATAAATATGTTTTTTTAAAAAATTTAGGTTATTTTTCATTTCAATGAACATCTACAGAGATTTTGGGATTCCATTCATTCATTGTCGAGTCCTTCTTTTTAGGCCCAGGTGTCTGTTGGTTTTCTGTGCCGTCGAGACTTCCTCACCTGGTATCTATCTGTCTTCTGTTCATGCATCTCTCTCTCTCTACCCTCTACCCTTTCCTCTCTCCCCACTTCTCCTTCCTTCTCTCCTCTCCTCTCCCATCCCCTCCCCTCCCCTTCCTTCTCTCCGCTCTCCTCTTCTACTCTTCTCTCTCCCTCT